TCGACCCAGTCGAATGAGCTGAACGAAGAAAAAAAAAGAAATATAAATCAAGATCGAATCACACATAGGGCACACGCACACATATAAACACATCCAAAAAAGACAAAAGGCATCTTTCCCAAAAAAAACAGTGAATGATTTACCCATTGAAGGATTAGGATCACTGCGTGTTAGATGTGTGTATACATCATCATCATCATCATTGACGAATCAATGCTATTCCGTGATCATGATGATGATGATGGTGTTGGTGCGAATCAGGGCAAAACGGATTGTATGGAAAAAGGTAAAAGTGAAAAAAAAGAAATCAATTACCAATCAATGAATGCCACAATCGAATCGAAAAAATCATTCCCTATCTCAATCTTACATTATAACTTTACATTGTTTGATTCACATTTTCGCCAGATATTCTTGTTTAGTCGTCTTATAGCTGTGTTAGTTGTAAATGGAAAAAACACACACATCTTACATTCATTTGGGGATTCTTGACACCGTCATTGATTATAAAGGAATCGAATAGGAAGTAAGAGAAGAAAACGAAATTGCAAAAAGCCAAAAGGCTCAAAGATTCATTTGAGGCCGAAACAAATTCTAAGCAACTAATAATAAAAAAACCAAACAATCAATGGGGCCTAATGTACATTTGATGGCTGCCAATTTCATGGCTCATAAAACGCGCCCAAACATCACATACACACACATATGGACTGCAATCGATGCAAAGCATCACAGATTGTGATATTTGGTCCATGTTTTTTTTGCCTTTCCTGTTTGTTTTTATGTATGTTCATGGACTGACAATAGCTTTGGTTATTTCTATTCTATTCGATTCACTATGTCAATTGTTTACGATGTTAGTTGATTCAGCCAACACCTTGGATCATGGCCAATATGATTATCGAATACTAATACTGAAATCAAAGTTTTTAATATTCTACTGCTTGTATGTAAATGGACATTTTGACATAAAGATTCGGCAAACACTTCCCAGAGTATTCTGGATGTTTCGTATCACACACGCAAAGAATAAAGATACAATACACGGCAGGCAAGAAAACATCGAAAATGAGATAGATATGCAAATGGATATTAATGATCACCAAACAACATGCTTTGGTTTGACAGCTTTGACTTTTTCTTGTATAAAAAAACCAGCCTGAAAAAGAAGCAAATAAAGCATATAATCAATGTGTTTAGAAGTTTGGTAAGCAACTTTGGGATAGAATTCAACCAGTAAAGCAAAAACATGACCAAAATAAACATTGATGAAAAAAGAACAGAACAATTATTATGGGCCTCAAGTAGCTGCAGGCTTTGCAAATGATTAGTCCATGTTTCCGGAACAAGTAGTTGTTCATTTTGGTCCATCAATACAAACCTACACATACACAAACATACCAATGTACAAGACAATTCGAATGATGTGGCTATTAAAAAATAGTTCATAGTGAAATAATGGCCAAACAGTGTTCCTTTCCTCATTGTCATTGGTCACTAATCGGTTCGGGTGATAGAGTGGACCACCAATTCTGATTGGATTAAGATCTTACCAGAAAATGAATTGAAATCACTGTTTTTTGTGTAAACAACAACGGTTCCGTTTGCTAAGTGTATTGGATTTTCCACTTTTAGATCGACAAACTACATTACACTAAAAATTATTATACACGAGCAACATTTGCATTTGTGTTCACAATTCTTGTTGTTATCATAATTGAATAGAATAACATGGAAAGTTTTGATCCTCAGAAATGTAAGCAATCGATAGAATTCTGCCCCTTCTATTTCGGTCAGGATGAACCGATTCAGAATTTCGTCATTGTTTGTTGAAACATAGATTATATCCACACCACGACATTTGGCCAGCCAAAAAAGATAACCAGCCATAGAACGTGACCAGAATTTTGTACACGTCGATTGTATGACACACATTATGAGTGTGTGGCTGACTGATAAGCAAACAAGTAAACATGACGTGAACAACATATGCCTTGAAAAACAACAATGGCCACAATCGACAAATGATTTGCCTTATTTGATTCTGGTTCCTGTTCAAATGACAGCTTCGAATGACATTTGACTGACATGAATGCATACACATACACACACTTATTATGACAAAGACAACAAAACCCATCCACGACAACATTTAAAGAGGGGATAGATAATACAGTAAGATTATGAAGAATTCTTTGGGAATAATGCCCAACTTTTCATCATCATAATCAACGAAATTATAACAAACTTTTTTTTGTTAAAGTTAAACTCGATCGCATGTGTTCGTCACGATTAGTTCATCATAAATGAAGCAAGCAATTTTATCATAGCTATGTTATATGATGATGAGGCAAGAACGAATTTATAATTAATAGACGATTAACTTGGACGATCATCACGGACTTAATGATTAGTAGTGAAAAAAAGAAAATGAATCTATCGATTATATCGGTGTTCGATTGATGGCTATAGGCCAATCGAAAAATAGCAATTCGTAGATGGGTAAATAAATTCTTTGTTACTATTATTATTGCAATCATTATATTGGATAGTGATAGACGTGCCATTTCTCGAACTTTTGAAATGTCTGTGTGTGTGTGTGTGTTGGTTTTCGATCCAAAAGCCAGACATGAATAAATGATTGTCAGTCATACGTGTTAATGGCTTCCCAACCAGAGCCTAGGGTCTAACTAAAAAAAGATTGTTATCTTTTACTTGACAGCACTCAGAAATCCGATACCGAAACAAAACTCACACAGAGACACAAATACATACACACGAACGCACACGCACGCACGAAAACCGGATCTGATAGAACCAGGAGAGCGAGAGAGATGAAATCTCCAAGTTTTTTTCACGGGTAAATTTGAAAATTTCGTGATTCGAATCCAAAACGGAAATTCAATGAATGAGAGATATCCGTATATAATGAGAAAATCAAACAAACGATAAAAAAACGATGAGACTTCCGATTGGGCAAACTATGTTCATGTCATACGTGAATCAAAGAATCGATCGGTAATCGATTCCCAATGCCGATGAAATGTTAGCCAAATTGAATTGTTGCAAATATCGTTATGTGGGCCTAATGTAATTCGTTTGGAAAGAAAATTGAATCATAAGAATAATGTTTCATAGTATTCATAATTAAAACCGATCGAACAAATGATCATTATTATTATAGAAAAAAGCAGAGTAAATTATTAAGATAGGGGCCAGGTTTACAATATTTGATCGATTTTTTTTGAATATACACAGGGCATAGTTTTAAAGCATAAAATTGATCGAAGAATCAATGAAAAAAAAGAACAGATGTCAAAGTTCACTGCGTAAAACTAGGCTTATTTTATTTTAGATTCAATTATTTTTCCGTCAGAAGAATAAGAATTTTCGAATAAACCATAGCAGTTTTAACAGGATCAAATTGAACCATAACCAGGAAAAACCTTGTTAAAATATTTGAATATAGTAGGAGAATTGTGACTATATCAACAATCTAGATATGACGTAATGATGATGGAGCCCCAATGTCCAACTGCAGATCTCAATCTTTATCATTATTGACAATCATCATTAGAGAGACAACAGATATCATCATCATCAGAACATTTGTCATACAAACGAGAAAAAATTGGCTATGCATCACACACAACATATGAAATTGGTATCGATCAGGAAATAGACAAAAAATATTCTACATTGGCCCAGATATAAAACCATTTGTAAACTATATTTAGATTTTCTATCAAACTGCCGCATCATCACCTACTATTGTGAAAATGTTCTGAAAGAAAAACTGAATGGTCATTATAAACTCTCCTCACACAAGTTCTATCATTATTTTGATTTTTCAAAACTAAAGAAAATTGTACGAAAAAAATAAAACCATCAACAAACATAAAGCAATGCCGATATCGGCTAGAAATCAGGCACCATTAGTCTCAATGTTTTTCCGTTTAAGAAAGAAAAACAACAGAATTTACAATTTCTTATATGTATGTGTTGTTACACATGGATCGATTTTATTTCGCAACCATAATGGCCGATGATGATGGCCATCACTGTCATCATCATAATCAATGTGATATCATGATTCATTGAAATGATGATGATGTTTATGACGATCATCATCAACTAAAACACATTCAAACATACCCAAAAAAAAAATAATCTAGAATCAAAAAATGAAGCCAGCTATAGCCATTGGACAATCAACAAAAAGCAAGTTTATCATCACACCAAACATGAACTTATTGATTGGGCTTTTTCTACTATTGTTTTTGTTCAATAATAGATTCACCCCTCTTCACTTATACTTTTCGATTCAGTGAGAACAACATTTTATATTCTGCAACTCTGCAATCGAAAACAAACAAACAGCCCTGATGACACATTCTCTACACACACACACACACACACACACACGAATAGCGAAAAAGATCAAAACAGCAAATGTTGCTAATTGGTTGGAAAATATTGAACCAAAAGAGAAAGCGGACAATCCAGGGAAAAAAAGATTCATTGAGTCTTCACAATAACGAAAAAGAAAGCTCTGTCCATGTGTTCCAAACATACGTCGGAGCTTGCCCATATAATATTTGATGCTGGACCAAACCAAATGACATACACACACACATACACATAAAAGAGTCACTAACAATCTGTTTGAAAAAATAGGAAAGAGCAAACATGAGCTTCTTCCAGAATAGAATATATGTTCAAGCTTTGGAATGTACAATGTTTGTTTGTATTTGTGAAACAAACAGCTCCATATTCTCGTTACAATATTTGACTCATGTGTGTGCTGGTTATTACAAACCAACATGACAACAAATAATGTTCCAAAAGGACAGAGTAAAGTATAGTGTCCAATCAACAAATTCACAATTCAAATCTGGTTCCCTTGTATGTTTTACATAACCAAATACATGTATGCATCTTGACATCATTGTTTACACGAGACACATCAGACCAAAAAATAGCCCTAAAGGCAGACCTACCTTGAAATCCGATGGGACAACGACAAGCAAATGTATTCACTGGTGATATAGAGCGAAACAGAATGGCTTCAGTGCCAATGAAATCGGATGCATTGCCAAATTTAAGGACGGATAAACATTCTTCGAAATTTAGACACGGTTCACGAACACAAAGATTATCATCGAATGGCAGAACCTAAAGAAACAAAAAAAAAGTTTGTTGATCACAACCTTGGATGCAAAACAATTTATACTTACCTCTAAACCAGTCAATTCTGTCAACAATGTGCGGCTAATGTAGACACGTTCTTGAAGAAATTGTGATGAATAATAAGATTCTGTATCACGAAGCGATTCGGAAAGGCGAGCCGAGAATGATACATTCAATACAGGCATCAATTCTGATTCGGTGTCATCCTGGTCAAAATAAAAAGTAACAAACAAATAATTCTTCAATTGAGCAGTCATAAAATAATAAATGTCAATAAATACCTGTATATTGAAAATAATGATATTTTCTTTTGCACAAGGAATGACTGTAGCCAAACCATCCAAAAATCGATCATAAAGATTTGAAAGGAATCGATGACGTGTTATCCGATTAAGTCGGACGGTAACACTATGAAAAAGCATCGATTCAGTGACCAAATTGACGGCTAAATAACAGCGAGCTATTGCCTCGTTGACACCATCACTAACGGCCACTTCTAATAATGCACGAGTCGGGACGTTCGTATTCAACGATGGTGATAAACGTAATTCACCGCTTGTCTCATTCAACAACAAAAGATTAGCTTTGTTTCCAGCGATAAATCGATGACGAAGATGATCACCAATATCGGCATCATAGGCTGGTACACGTCCAATAACTTGTCCCAATGGAAAATGACCCCGATAATTGTTGAATATGATGGCAAAATCACGTAATAATGGTGCATGGTCGTTGACATCTAAAGACAGATGATAAAAACTACATTTAGTAACTATTTATTATGATGAATAGAGACACGAGCAAGCAAATTTCATAATGAGGCAAAAATTTTCTTTTTATCTATTCAGATAAATGTGTTCCAATTCGAGACATTGGTTTAATGCAACTGACCATCTATTTTTGGACTGATCGAATAATGATAAACATTTTGTTAGAGTGGTTGAGGGGGTCATAGAATCATCCCCTCATTCGTGTGTGCATAAAACGGCGAATCGTTTAGTCAATCGGATTTGGATCTTTGATCGGATTTCTTTAATATCTCATCCATTCCAGTGATTCCGGTACTTTTAGAAAATTTAGACAAATCTTCTTATGATCATTATTCTACCGACACACGCCACTCTGTCCATCGAACTAAACTCATTGAAAACAAAAAAAAAAAAAAAAAATACAATTCGGCAAAAAGGATTCTTTTTTCAAGATTATAAAAATCATATCATAGAATGAGAATTTATAAAAATAGCCAATGTCCTGTTTATAAATGCCTGACAACAAAGTGATCAAATTTGTTTGTCATCATTGAAAGCTAAAATTGGAATGGTCCAAAATAATTGAGATGCTCAATATATCCAATTTCTATCATTCTACCTGGTTGAATTCAGTGCAACCAAATATTATTAGAACCGATTATGGATTTAGAAGTAAAGAGGATCATGTTTTGATGGATAATTATCATAATCACATTTGTCTGTGAAGAGCGTCATTTTATCTAATGTATAAACATAATAATAGGTTTGGATCTATGATATCGATAATTCGATATTGCTTCAATAAAATTACAAAGGCGCCTACAAGGATATTAATCATGGAATCAAATTTAGAAAAAAAAACGAAAAGAGTGGGTGGAATTTCAATCAAAGAACATAATGCAAAACCAATGCTGCCTGTCAATGATAATCGGACAACGGAATCAAAGTCTTTGACCGTATTCGTCAGTTGCATTGCACTCACTTCAAGTTGAGCAAGTGAGCCATGGATAAATTAGCCAATTGGCAAATATACAATCAAGACCGGCCATTCAAGGTGCGAAACAACAGCATTCAAATTCTTAAGAACCGGTTGGTTTGTTTCTAAGTTAAACACTGTTGTTTATGGCCATTCACCGGTTTTATTCACTTAAGCTCAAGAGGAGTAAAGCTTGATTGCCGCATCAAGTTCAATAGCAGAAAAAAAAAGAATAAAGGTCATGCCATTTTAGATGCTCGAACAAACACAAAAGATTCAATCACAATTGAAATTCATAAATCTAGTATGATGGTGATGAAGATGCTCATATTATTATCATCATCATAATGGTGGCCTTATCCTTATGTAGATGTATAAACAAAGCATACAATGTTTGCGAATTCAATTCAAAATTGGATGAAATTCAATCCGGTTATATGAATGAAATCAGAAAAAGAAAATCATGCAATGATGGCTGATGATGATCATAATAAATCATCAAATAGCAATAACCATCTCTCATATGAGACAATCATTTTCTATGCACTATGTATACAGATGATACAAATATTACATGAGTATGTTGATCATCATTTGGACATCATAATGATTTTCGTTCAATAGAGTCGTGTTTAGCATGTGTGGAATTCGCATGTTTAAATAGATAAAAAGGTTCTCAACAACAACTAATCGACAGAGGAGCATCATCTTCGATAATAACGATATCAAATCCAAGTCGATCATTGTGTACTTGATGAGAATCAATCATGGTCATAATCATCACAATGATAAAAATCATGACCATGATCGATTAGAAAATTGAAAGTCTAATTTCAATTTACGGACAAGACAAACGAGTGTAGATGATAATGATAAGCCGGTCAATCGGGTTTACATAAATGAAAATCTGTGTCTGTGGAAGCATAATAATGAATCTTGAATAGTATATACAAATGTAAGGATAATGAATAAAAATACTCACAATGGTTAATCGATTGGGGACAAAAAATAACGAATTCACTTACCAGTCACATGAATCTCAACATCGACATCATTTCGCAAAGGTAATGATGATGCACGTACAATTATATTATAGACTTTTTTCTCTGATTCAAAATCTAACTCGGTTCGAGTTATTAAAGTGGCCACCGAATTGATGGAAGAATCCAATGCTGAAGATGATGATGAGATTGATGATTGTTGTTGAGATGACGATGATGTGGATTTCAATGCGAACCATTTCATATCTGATCCTCCTACAATAGTATATTCGATTCGAGCATTGGCACCTTCATCAGCATCGGTAGCTCGCAATTCACCAACAACCGATCCAATGGGTGAATTTTCAGGCACATAAAATCGCAATCGATCACTAGCAAAACGTGGTGGATTGTCATTACCTATCATCAAATAGAATAATCATTGCATCAAATATTAGACATCTATTTAATTCATTCATTTAAACGATTATCAAATGTGAATTTGATCATCACGAACGTTGGTTGATTAATGTTCAACCCATAAATACAAAAATGATGATCGTGATCAGCTGTGTGTTTTATCTATCACGATATATGTGTGTATCTCAAATATTATTATCATAGCTATGATTATATTCGAATTGAAACTTGAAAAATCCTAATTTGGTCATCAGTGTAGCCAACGAACCAAAACGAACGATGATTTTCTTCAAGTTCTAAACCTAATTAAATCTGGCCAACCTATAATATAAAAGAAATAAAATGAAAAAACCTGCTTATTGACCATGGATTGTTACCTGAAAAAAGGCTAGGTTTGATTTTTTCATGTCTAATAATTTTCCCATTATTACTATTCTATTATACTCCTTCACATTCGATTTGGTCATCACATAACATGTCGTCGACAGGTTATCTATACTTGTTTCTATTTCTTGAATCTATTGTTTCGGAAAACAAATTAAGGGTTTTGTGGTAAAGCTACAGTCGAATTGCAACAAAAGAAATACAACAAGCAATTCAACAATCATATTCGATTATCGTTACTCATTGAATAACCATAAAGTATATATGGATGGGTAACTAAATTCATACTCATTTTGATTCTAACTCATAATGTCGTTGAAAAGACTAGAAGCTTGGCATAAGGAATGAATAATTCAATGAAAATCTGATTGAATCTATGTTCTCACGGCTTTTTCTTAAAAGATCAATTTCACTGGTTAGAATGGATTGGTACTTACAATCTTCGATGGTTACATGCACGATAACTGATGATGATAATGACGGCGTACCACGGTCAAATGCAACTACTTTAAGATCATATTTAGCGATCGTTTCACGATCCAACGTACGATTTGTTCGTATAACACCCGATGTAGCATCAATACTGAATACACCGAGCGGCGAAAATTCCATATCGATATGTTGATGTTGATGTTGTTGCACATCATTGCCAATCATTTCGAATTCATAACGAACTTGACCATTAAGACCTAGATCACGATCAGAGGCTCTAACCTGACAGACGGATGTACCGATGGGTGCATCTTCCATCACAGTTGCTGAATAATGATGTTGTTCAAATAGAGGCACATTATCATTAACATCGATTACTTCAATCTCAATGTTGGCTATATCGGACAACGGTGGTATGCCATTATCCTGTGCAGTCACAATTAACGTATAACCGGCTGTTGTTTCACGATCTAATGCTTTGACCGTTGTTATAGCTCCAGAATTAGGATCAATCCGAAATTCTGGTACTTCATTAAGAGAATAGGTGATTCGCGCATTTTCACCAACATCATCATCGATTGCTTCGACGACCAAAACGGTAGTACCAATGGGTGCATCTTCAGCGATGGTTGTCAATGTTGCAGAAAAAGGACTGCCATTATTTTTAAGAATTTGAATCACAGGACGATGAGTATTGGCATCAGTTACATTTATATAAACAGTGGCCAGATCTACTTTACCACCTGGATCGGTTGCCGATACTGTAAGCACATAATTTTTCTCTTGTTTATAGTCTAACGGGTTAGCTACCGTCAAATGACCTTGATTATTCTGAGAGACGATTGCAAAACGATTACGTAAATTACCGCCAGTTATTTGAAAAACTAAACGTGAATTCTCATCACGATCAGTAGCGGTTACGATAACAATAGGAGTTCCTGGCGTGGCCGTCTCTGAAATGACTGCTTCATAATTTCTCGGTTCAAAGACAGGTGCATTATCATTCAAATCTTGTACTTGTATGATGACCAATGCCGAAGCAGAATGCTGAATTGGATAGCCATTGTCGCGTGCGATGACCGTAAATTCATAAAGTGATTCTTCTTCACGGTCTAATTCTCTTGTGGTCATTATCCAACCGCTGGAGAGATCGATATCGATAGGCATTGATGCAGCAGTTCGATCGGCATTTTCATCACTAGATGATCGTTGTATGTGATAGCTAAGTTGAGCATTATCACCATCATCAGCATCATAAGCTTGGACGCGAACAACACTTGTACCGACGGGTACATTTTCCATTACATTCTCCTGAAACAATGTCGTATAGAATCGAGGTTCATTGTCATTTTTGTCGAGGACAGAAATTAATAATTGTGTTGTGTTGGACCGTGGTGGACTACCACCGTCTTGAGCGCGAATCACTAATCGATAGCTTCGAGCAGTTTCATAGTCCAATGGACCAACGACGGCCACTTCACCATTAAGCGAATCGATGTGAAATAATGCTGCAGTATTGCCACCGATGATTGAATATCTGATGGCGGCATTTAATCCTTCATCAGCATCATGAGCCACTATGCGGATGATGACAGGCCTTGATGCATAATTAACGTCTTCATCTACTGACACTGAATACGAACGTTCGGCAAACTGAGGATAATTGTCATTTTCGTCGAGAATTTTAATACCAACCGTTGTATGAGAACGTTTTCGAGATTGAACTGCTCCCGAATCTGATGCTTGTACAGTTAATGTGTAGAGATCATTCTTTTCTCGATCCAAACCTGTTCGTGAAGTGATAACACCATGTTTAGGATCGATACGAAAAGCTTCGTTTACACCGGTCGGATTGAGTATGGAATATTCTATTTCAGCATTAGGACCACTATCATGGTCGGTAGCACGTATGGTCAACACTGTTGTGCCTAGCGGAGCTGATTCTCGAAGCGATGATTCATAGTTGGCATGTTCGAATACCGGAACATGATCATTTTCATCAAGAACATTGATCTGAAGCGTTGTAGACGCTGTTCGTGGTGGAACATTACCATCAGTCACAGTGATTCTTAGATAATGGACATCCATAAATTCACGATCTAAACGTGTTGTTGTCGTAACCAAACCACTGACCGGATCAATTGCAAACATGGATTGCGATCGTGCATCAATCAATGCAGACATTGAATAGAGTAGTTCTGATGATTCAATTGATTCGGCAGGTCGACCTGGTGTAGCAACCAATTGGGTAACAACGAACGATTTTTCTCGTTCTTCTGGTACGCTTACTATGTACAATGATCGATCAAATGATGGACCCGAATTAATTGAGGAAACAGTTTCTCGCCTAGATCGACCAGATTGATGATTACTTTGATAAAGTTGTCTTTGACGATCGGTCAATTTGCTCATAAATTCTTCAGTATCAAAATCTTTTGCATAGAATGTCAGTGTCAAACGCTCGATGCTGCTCATCAGTTTGATGAAGGTGGAAGATTTGGACGGTGTTGCTGATGAAGAAACATTTTCAGCCTGATTTTGGAATGAATATTTAGGCCATGTATGATTATGACTAATAGTCGAATGATGATGATGATGGACATGGGGTGGCTATTATCACATAAATGTACCAAACCAATGTGTACATCGAATGATCGACCATTGGGTAGGCAATATTTTTTAGTAGATATAAGATCTTGATTAGAATGTTCGATACGAAATTCCAGATTCGTATCATAATGAATGTTGTCGACGGTGGTTGCACCTAACACATGATAGTATGATGTACAAGAAGATTTTACATAAGATGATACAAATTTTGGCAAACGGGTTAAAAATTGATATCGATCAACGCACAAGCCATCATCTTGGATGGTCAATAAAACGTTCGTTTCAATATTCGGTTCAGCTAATGAACCATAAAAATGGCGATTTGGTTCATTATAAAACAGAGATTCAGGATTCAGATAGTCATGATAATCATGTTCATATAATTCATCAGAAAAATAGGATAATTGGGTAAATTCTCGCAGATGAGATTGATGCCGATCTATTTCTGTACAGGTTTCATGTTCGAATTCAATGTGAATCGGTATCAAAGTTAAATGATTCTGATCAGAACCATCGATCAGAAATGTTTTGGATTCTATGTAGAGATTTACAGGTGTGGGTAGCACTTCGGACAATAATTCGGAACGGCAACGTAGTTGACGTTTAATATAAAGAATTCCTTCTATTGTTGTTACATCAAAAAATCGATGTACATATGGAGCATTTAAATCTGATGGTGATAGCCGATATAGACGAGGATGATCTAATGATACGTTGAAAAGTAAAGATCCGGCATAATTATGTTCACTTGGTATTGATAATCTGAGTGCCCATGCTGTTGAACAACAAGTTAGTAATAAAGATATTGGAATGAAAAAACGATGTAGCCGAATACGATTGTCGAATGGCTTGATTGATACAGCCATTTTGATTATTAACAGGTTTTGGAAATAATAACAAAAATATTTCAAACAGGAACAATTGAATAATGAAAACAATTAATGATGCACTGTGAACGTTCCATAACAAGGTGTACAAATTCTTCAATGTACAACCAAATGAACGATGAACATTTGGGCATTGAAGAATTTATCGGTATCATTGTTCAATGATTGGATGCACATACACCTTTTTTCTTGATCAAAAAGGTGGATTCACATTAACACATAAACAGGATGATGATTTATTCGAAATTCACACACACACAAACACAAATTATACGAGGACATAGATAATCAAACTGTACAATGACAGATAAAAAGCACTTATGTCATTGTAGTCTTTAGTTTCTTGATGGATGATGATCAATGTTGGATAGGAAAAAATTCCTAATGCAAAAACCACATTATCTGGACATTTGAAAAAGATTGAATGAAAAAGTCATCGTTGTTGTTTTTACGTCGGGAAACCAGTTTGATCACATAAATACAAACACACACACACACACAATAGGTCTTGTTTCATGATCCAGTTGTATCTCTTTTATTCTATTATTAGTGATTATGGAACATATAATCAAAATGAAAAAAAAGAGAGAACCATAGCATCTTTAGTATTCGAACAGTAAAGACAAGATGTTTGTCGTTGTAAAAAACAAAACAAAGAAAAGAAAAACTTTAGAAAAACACACACAAATAATCTTGATTAATTCAATTTCACTCATCCAAATATCTAAGACCACATGCTGTCACAAACACAGTGTATGAGAGAAAGAGAGAGAGAAAAGTTTTGAATCAAACGGAAATGATATATAACATCGGGTTACATATGATGGTGATGAACGGAAGAAGAAAGGTAAACAAAATCCGGTCGTCAATTGATCACATATGTTACAAAATCGATCAATCATTCTGGGCTACTATCAAATCATGTGAAGACCATCACAATAACCATCATCATTCTTCATTGGACGTTATCTTTTTAGTTTTACTGACCGATGCATCGATGATAATATCTATCGATGCAGCCAATCTTTACATGTATACACACACATGAACACCAGAGACAGACTGATCATCATCATCATCAATCCATTAGCAAAAACGAATATTGAAGCACGTTCGTGACATAACCGTAGTCGTTGAATTAAGTTGAATTGAATCAAGTTGAATCGAATCGAGTGTATGGCCAAAATTTTATTGCAATCAAAAAGGTTTTATTCAGTAAATATATATATTTGAATATTCATTCATTCATTTTGTTCGATCAAATCGATCGATTGATCGATCCATTTCTCTACAAACTATAACTTTGAACGATGATGATGATGATTATAAAAATCGTTATGATGATCAAATGATGATATATTTTTTTTACTGCTGTCGCTGCTTTTCAATAAGAAGAAAATAATTTTTTCAGGTTTCGGAAAAAACTGGATGATCATGGTGATCGAATTCTGTAACGATAGAAACAAAAAAATAAAATAATAAACAATGATGAGTTCCTTTGTTTTTGCTTAATGTTAGCATATAATAACCATACAATCATCAGTAACATTTGGAAAAGGTGCCATTGGAAATTATCTCATATCCATAAAAAAAATACTTGGTGGTCGATTTTCATTCATCAATTATAGATTGTTTTAGGAGAATAAAAAATGTGTAAAAAACAAATGCAATAGATTCCTAGATTCAGCGAACAATCACACTAAATACCAAAATGACGACGAAATTGAATTTACAATTTTGATGATTTATGTTTCATTCTATTCACTATCACAATTTATATAAAGAAAGTGCATATGTGAATATATTTGTGTGAGTTAAGGAAAAAAAATAGAATCGAAATTATCAATACCATTAGTATTATCAATGATCATTACCGGTCGATTCGGCAAAAGTGGATTCAAAGAACATTCTTATTCTCGATTCAATGATACGAAAAAAAAAATCTAGAAAGAACTAACCATTGATTTCGAAAAACATACATATTATCCACATACACAAAAAATGAATGTGGTTTTCACATAAATGATTGCTGTCTAGGTCTATGGTTGCGTGACCAGTTTATAATACTTATTTATGGACAGACAGAGATATGTATCAATATGTCCGATTTGGAATAGTTATGGCACCTTAGCAAAAAAAAAAAAAAAAATAAAAAAATTCATTTACTTCCATAGATAACTATGCGTGTCTATGAATCGAATGGGAAAAAATTCACCCCATTCTATTATTATTGTGATAATAATAACTATTCATTACTTTCAGGTTTGATGAAAAATTTTTCTTCACACATACATTAGGGACCGAATGAATCCGGTTTAAAAAGATAGATAGATAGAGAGAGAAAGGAAGAATTCGAGTATACCAGATGAGAAATTTCACCCATTTCCGATGAAATGTGATGGTCACAACCATAGATACATACGTATGTACATTTTGATTGGCCTTATGAAAAAATATGGAAAACTTTTCCATTTTAAGGCCATTTTTCTGGTTAGTGATGGCTTGTCGATTCAACTCGATTTTTGAATAGAGTTCAATATGAAAATCAATTGTCATAATCTAATAGCATTTTTCTCTGAGGTTCAATGATGGTATGGTCCATGTAAAACACGAACGACCAATGTTTTGGTTAAATCAAATAAACTTTTGGGCTAATGACCATATAGGAATAAGTCTAACTGTATTCCAATACAGATTGGCAAATTATTAGATTAAATCTATATTCTAGTCGAAAACGGACGGACAGAAAAAAATTGATCATGATGAACGAGCGAGCTTGATTCGGCTGATTTATGGTACCGATGTTCAAGAATTCACCTTTTTGATTGTGTCAAAACCACATTCACAAATTCACATGAGAGAGGTGAATGGAACCAGGTTGTGAATAAATGTAAAAATCAACTGAATGTCTTTTTTCGGATTCGCATGATCATATATTTTTACATGCATGTATTCGATTGCTACATTTCCAACATAAATGATCCAAACATATACACACAATTTACCCGTGATACTTGTAAAAACGACGAAAAACTTTAACATGAAACACTTACACACACACACATAAATGGACGAGAAGAAACACACAATTTTCACTATAGTTGAGGATAATGTATGGCGGGAAACCTGGAAACAGATGGCCAGCGCCGGGCAACGAAGACGAAGATGTAAAACAAGACGGACAAACAGTACGACCAACTTTGAATGCTACAATCATTCTGATGATGGCAACGATGAATGTTAAACTCGGACCAATCGAACGGATACTAAGCAAAGGAGAAGAGAAACACACACCATATACGGGGTCGTAGTGGTGCAGTCATCAGTGGCCATGGAAAACGGCCATTCAACCTTTAAGATGTTTTATATCATAAACATTTTGAATGTATGCATCATCGAGTATGCTAGTAGTCGAAAGAATTTCAGACGAGAATCGAGATAATTGCTAGTAGCAAAAGGAAGCACTATCTATATAATATGGCTATGTACAACCGATAGATGCACCATCAACGAATGATATACTATTATTACTGTCTCAGGTACTAGGGACCATAGAAATGAAAATCATCATTACCATTCACCAGAATTCACCTTAGTTCATTTTCAATACACATCTAAGTCATCTGCATTATAATGGTTGAAAGGTAAGCAATTTACTTGAATTCTTTTGCTTTGGGCTAGAAACACACAATAATCAAACAGCTATGACCTTTATAGTAGGTGTGTATATGAGTTTATCATGTATGTGAAAATCAACCTGGCTAAACAATGAATGTTTACGATCACCTTTGACCTTTGTCTAAAATTTAGACTCTAAATGATTCTATTCTACGTGAGAATGTTATCTGTTGAGAAAAAGGTCATGTCTCTTACAACAGTCAATTCAACACAAGGACGGATGGGCTTCTGCTGGTTATTTTACAGTGTTTGATTCATCTGCTTAGTCTTTGGTTATTGTTGTTGTTGTTGCTGGGTCTGATGAACACCATCGAATATGTCTATGAACCATAGCAGAACCAACGACTAATGATATAACTAATGATCATCAAACAGCAAGGACAACAAACAAAATTGAGAACATGTAGTTTTGTGAAAAATAACTTGGCAAACATTGTCCAATGCTGATTGAGCCATTGTGATTCCAGTAAGAGATTGACTTGGATGTGCAGAGGCCAGAGTTGCAGGCAAGAAAAAAAACGGACCAAACAAGTATAATTAAGTTCATCTAGATCAATGGACAAGCTTATAAGAGTTGAAAACTTTTTTTCATCCAACTTATCAAACTTGAAGCCATACAAACTTAAGGTGTTTTTTGTTATTTGTAACGGATCCTTAGTTAGCAATGAGCTTTTTCTAAAAAACTTTCACTAGCCAAACAAGTAAAATGATTTTGTTCACTTCATCAAGATTGCCATCAAATGAATGGATGAAAGCTTTTCTTTTTTTTCAAAAGCTTCTATTTTGCTCGTTAATCCGATGTAAATGCAGTGGAAAAATGTAGGTTAAATTAATTGAAAACTATATCCATAATATTCAAACCTGTCATTTTGAATTGACATCACATCCGCCGTATAACACGATGACCACACACATACAATAAGTTCTGAAAATCAAAGACAAAAGGTCAAAGGTTTTGTATGTGTGCGCAGAAATCATAAACCAACCACAATAAGTGGATAATAAAATGATGATGGTAAACACCACAGATAGGAATAACAATTTGAAAAAAATCACATCTCATCAAATAGAACATGGAAAGGGAATTTCTTGATGATTTAGAAATGGAATCTTCTCATTGATCATTGATGTTCATATTAAATTTGGTTATTGTTATTGTTGCCAGTGGAAACATTGAAAAGGCTGATTCTAATTTTTTCTCTTGATGGTTCGATGCTTCCATAGCTGTTTTATAAGGCGGATTGTATGTGTGAATGTTGAGCAAATGAATCTAGGCTTCATTGCAATTTAGCATCATCAGAGCTAACAATAATTGAATTGGCCCGACAGAAATCCTCAGAATTCTGCAAAAATTTACCGCTTCATAGGAAATGTCGATTTTGAACAACCGAATCGTAATTCACAACACACACAGACACACAATGAGAAAGCAAATTCACTTAATGCAATTAAACCAATCTACACGATGAAAACCGAATCAAAAGTGACGTCCGTCAATTCAATCATACAAGAACGATCTACCCACAAAAATACTGTTTGATTGGATCAACTACACATTTATTTATTATGCAAAGAAATTGATCCAATTTCTGAATGTGATCGAATCCAATTCAAGTGATATTTTATATCAGCATAATAGCTTATAAAAAGGCTATCAGCTCGTTTGAACCATTTGGGCCGTTTACCACCTGTTGCCAGACCGATCAGAACATAACTCTGGGTTTCATTCCGTAATTTATGTCGACACATGAGAGCGCCACCAGAGTCACCTTTGGAAACTATTTTTGGACTAAGCCAATGACTTAGATCTCGATAGTGAATATAACCAGCGCAAAGTTGATGGCTACGATAGAATTTTGATTGTGAAATCCGTTTGCATATGTTTGGATCAATCACCGGCAAACGAACTTGTCGTAGACGGGGCAATTGATGAATCAAATATCTATGCCCTATAGGTGTGTATAGGTTTGACTGGTCCCGTTCTTTACCATAGCCCAATGTGTAACAAAATTTGCTGTGTTGACCAAATGGTTTCGGCAATGGAACTGGACCTACATAACGGTCGAATGAAACCGGTTCATTTAGTTTGATTATGGCCATATCATGTGGAGAGAATCCATTACGTGTAGGTCGATATTTTGCGTGAACCTATGAGATGATAAACAGAGTAATCAGATGAATAATTCACAAGTGTATGTCACAAGAACCTGTACTATACCTGTACTGAATGAATCTGACGTACATTATCGACATTGTGATATGATCCAAACAATGAATGGCTACCGACCAATACGTAAAGATCCGTCCAAGATTGATTGTATCTATAAGAAGGGAGCCGTAACAGGTCAACAACAATGACATTTAATGGACAAACACACAGTTGTCTTTTACACATACACACAATGAGCGGCTGTAAGAATATGGTATTCGTTGAGAATCTCACCCGTGCAATGAATTCTGGGTTTGAAGATGCCAGGTTCTGATTGTGCTGCCAATTTAAACAAAGCGACCATGAATTTCCATCGATTAGGAGACGGATTACAACCATTCCAAATCCTACATCGTCGATTCAATTCGATTTGTTCATCTTTCAATTGCTGTTCCAATTTGGCGTCAATTAATGATATTTGAATCAACACTATGGCTGAAATAAGGAAAGCTACGCAACTAGACATGAGGATCCTCATGTTTCTGTGATAGATAATGCACGTGTGACATTTGAATTAGGAAAATATTTATTGATTTAATTGTACGGGGAAAAATGTGTTAAAAACGAACAATCTTGAATGCCAAATTCCATCAGGAAAAACGTGTGTATTTGCTGCTAGTAGTATCATTGTTAGTTAGGCCATGTTTGGCACGAAAATGGTCTCGTTGCTGCTGTCGTAAACGTTGACGTTCTTGATGCATATTCATCATCGATCGTCGTGCACCATCCCATCTATTTAGTTGCCTTTGTTGAAAACGGCGACAACAAGGACCAATACAGCAACACCAAATAATCAATATGACCGATAATATGGTGACCAAACTGAACAATATGACCAACAAGGTAATCCAAATACTGGCACTTAATTTACACGTGCGCCAATAGCTATTGTGTTTACATTCGTCATTCATTCCAATCCATCTATAACATTGATTATCATTAGCACAATAATAACATCGTAGGTCATATTTCACACAGGCTTCGCATGATGAGTTATGCAAATTACATTCGATGTCGCCATCGTTGCTGACAGCCGATTTCGTAGCTGCAAGTAGAAATATTGTCAGTATCAATGCTGATCGAGACAAAATGGTCCAATTATTCATCATTTTTAAAAATCCAATAGATTATGTTCGATAAGGTTTATTCCAATCCACATCCAAATGCAATCGATTTTTCACTCGTACAAATCAAGTGGCGTTTTTCCTTATATTATCAATGGTGCCTATGGCAGTAATCATTGATCAGTTGCTAAGGCAGTGGTTTATCATATTGGGGCATATTGTGGAATGGAATCCATCAAAATTGCCTTCGATTTTATTGCATCCATGAAATAAATCAGCTCTTATCTATTCAAAATGTTTTTGACGATAACAACATCACCTTTTATGGTCAGCAAATAAAATAGGGCCATTTGTTTTGTCACATGCTCATTCACATAACCGGCATTGTCTGATTCAGTGATGTTCAATTAACAATCCATAATAGCGATGTGTTTTTTAGATCACTTATACGATCTCTGAGCGAAGAAAGTTGGAGACAACTTGTCTAATTTATTGTCTTTTCTATAAGTCCACAACAAATTTAATGGTATATATTCATATGTGACAAAAATAATGCAGCATTTGGTTCCAATTAATTGCTCTATATAATTAATTGCACCCAAACAAATGATTGGATTATAGCGGACATAATTTGCAGTATACATTCAATAATACACACGTCTCTTTGGTAACATGTAACGGTTTTGTGATCCTCCTCTATCAAATTGGAATACAATGAGGGTAGATAATGAGCTATCATGATATAATGTAGTTTCATATTAACCACGGCCAAAACATTCCTTAATTTTGTAATTTGTAGGCTGCCAAATGCATATGGAGTTGATTCGACCATCATTATTACTATCAAGAAAAATATTATGAATTTTCGGAAAAAATGGACATGAAATTTGAGAAAATTTGCCCATAAATTTACGATTCTGACAATTGGGACGATAGCATTATAATGTTAAAGCCCGACTATTTATGCAAATATGAATGAATAGAGCCAATCGATTTGAGATCAATTAATTCGTATACAATATTCGATACAAAAGACTTGTGTATACATGGTGAAACTGTGATTGCAAGGCAAACGAGAGTGATTTCCATTTTCATTATTCCTCAATGGTATACCATGCATATATGCATATAAGAAATGATTTTTATCCGTAGTTCATTCATAATATGAATCCTATTGAAATGTGATGATGGTGGAAAAAAGGCCACCATATATAATATGCAAATTTATCAGAGCCCCCCACCCAGAAAGTCTCCAAAAGTTGTAGAAAAACTTGGAAAAATGGAAAGAAGAATCAAGTTGAAATATTGTAATCGCTTTACTTTCACTCACAAGTTTCAACATATACACAAAATACGAAAGTCTCATCGTCAGCATGCCCGAATGTTATCATCGGTTAGTATATATGCCTAATAGCATTCAAACGATGCAAAGCATACTTACCAACATAATCATCATGAACATTGTCATCATTAAAATAATTCACTCAAAAAAAGTTGAATAAGGAAAAAATGCTGGTCCATTGTACAAGGCTTGTGCATTATACAATCCTTTGCTCATCTTAATTAATTCCTTTAGCATAAGATTGTATACGATATATTTGACGTCATTAAAGTGCAAAGATAATGTTGCCGCGATTCGATGGCCAATGGTCTAGTTTTTATGATAAGCAGTAAGATGATTTCTGTTTAAATCTTTTGTGATTTTTGATGTTGATTTGTTTTCTCTCTCCCTTTTTCTTGGTTATGATTCTTGCATTATTCCGTCAATTTAATCTTTGGCCTAAACAGTTTTTCTATTATTTGATCATCCGTCCAATGACAATCAAACACAGAATGAGAATATTGTCCATCTTCACTTTGAACGGTTCATATTGCCATTCCATTTATTGAATTATTATTAACAAATGAAATCAATAAATAATGTCTCACTCAATTAATGGTTTGTACTTTTGCTTGGATCAATGTTTATTGAGATTCATACACAACATAGCTGACCTAATGGCTATATCAAATATGGATTCCAATATGGGCAAACAAGATTGCTATTTCAAATGCAATAATATAATTCGAATCATCAATATCATCATCATCATGAAAAACGATTCGCGTTCAAATACGAATCTAATAATAAAAACAAAAAAAAATGACGACAAACGCAAATATAGCAATGATCAATGTGGTCCGCCGAAAATGTAAGGCCAAATAACAGCATAATATACAATTTATAGATATCAAACAAGAGGGGAGATCAAAGAAATGCGGCTTCAATATATAATCCAATTTATATATCGGTTTCGATTCCCTATTAACCATTAAATGTATTTGATGGCAAATATTATATAATTTTGCCTACAAACAGACTTCTCTCATTTATGATTCATAGTGATACCTGCGAGCAATTTTTTTCTGTAAGGCTATACAAAATTTATTTATTCTTCAATTAAGCATCGATAGTATATAAAGTTGATCAATCAATTGGAAATCATTAGCGCTAAACTTGAAGGAATGGATACAAAGTTTAACAAAATTCATAAGAGAGAAACCAATCAAATACACTTATGAAAATGGTCACTTGAAAACATTGTAATAAAATTCAGGCTTTTCGTTGAACATCTGTCGGAAATAAGCTAAACAATATATGACCAATAGGTTAGATTCAGAGTTTTTAGGATGATAGATTCTAGAATGTAATTGTAATGCAATGTGAATTATCGATATAAAAATAAGAAGCCTTACAATAATGAAAAAAGCAATGGACAATTTCCGAATCTAGTTGTTTGCATTTCCATTCAACACATCCAGGCAAATCAAAATGAAATAAAAATTTTTGTAAATAGAACTAGGACAATCGATTGGAAAAAATTTCCGCTTGATTTAGCCAAATGCCGAATTTTCTTGAACTCGATAATCAAATCGTTGCTGGTGTCAATGCTGATTGTGAAAATTGAAATGATGATCATGATGGCAAATAAGCAAACGAAGGAGGAGTAATATCACGGCGTTTTCATTACATTCCGATCATCATCATCATTTGATTGCTTCGTAGCTCAATCGTCGGCATTACTATTGAATCGAACAAGCCGACCAGAGTTAAAACTGGCAATCAAAATTCGATCAAGTTATATGAATACGAATTTGATGTATCTATGTGTTTATGTGCATCCAACTTGATTTAGTTGGATTAATTTCTTTATTTTAGCTGCTACTAATAATTTATCCATTATAATCAATCAACCAATGATGATGTTCATCAAGGTGGTCAGTCGGTCTTTCTGATTTAGATAGACAGACAGGTTTTTTTTCTAGCATTATAATCATATCATCAATTTGATTAAGTTATTCATCATCAATCCTATGAGAACGATTCAAAGATCCAGTAGGTCAGTAGCTATATTGAATCCATAATAAGTTAAGAATATTCATTATTCATAATAGTCGCTTTTGAATATTAAAATGAATCCATTTCGGGCCATGTTCATTAATCTTGTCTATGTATATGTGTGTGCATTCGAGTGCAAATACCTTGTAAATTAAATTTCTATGGCCATAAAATGGATTTGTTCCAAAAAACCTGTGCATCACAAAATTGCCTACCATGATACCACAGAATAATTTTCATTATAAAATTTAAAAAAATAAATAAAAAAATATGGTCGTCAGTTGGAGTTGGGTTTTGAAATATGAGGATTTGTTATTCAGTCATTTTTTCTTTTATTCAATAATATTTTTTTCTTTTGTTGTTTGACACGCGATATACATGGGTTGGTGGTTATTGTTCTGTTGAAATACGAAATATATAGCTATTCTCTGCATTCCAAATGCTCATCAAGAATTTTAAATTGCGTGCCAACAATATATCTTTTTTGCTTGCCTAATTTTTAATTAATTTCCATTTCTCATGTGCTTGAAGATTTTTTAAAAAAATTTTGCTCAACATCACCGTGCATCAAAGACACCTGACACCTGAAATGGAACATTCGTTTATTTAATGAATACTATATGTGTTCGTCATATCCATGTCATAGCTGCCAAACAAACATTTCAGCCGAGATTCTATTATACAGTAATGAACGTAACAAAAAAATAATCGAGGTAATTTCAATTAGCGATTTTTTTCATAGGAGGAATTTTTCATGATAATAGCGTTAATGGTACTAACAGCAAAATAAATTTGCAATCAAAATCATTTTCAAGCTCAGTGACATGAAAAATAGGATGTTTTTTGGCCATAAAATGTAAAGTACTTGACGATTAGATAACCCCCATTATTCAAGAGGGTAAAAGATTGTAGCTCACGCACAGATGCTCCAAATCAAATCCAATCAATATCAATATTAATGGATCAATTAAAACTTTTGGATCCAATCAGTAGATATTAATTTTGAGTGTTGTTTTTCAAAAATATCATTGCAATCAATTAAGAAAATAAGATTACATTGAATAAAAACCAGTGTCTTAGTTTTTTTAATTGTCATTTTCATTTGAATTACAATCGTATAAAGAACATTCAGAATGCATCCATCGACGTTGACTTTGGTTTTTTGCATTATCGTTTCATTAGGTATGTTGAAACTAAATAGAATTTCCTGATCAAAAAAAACTAATAATTAATAATATCCGCTACATTAACGAATTTTAAACATATTCAAATCAAAGCAATTTCTGTCAGTGGTGATGATTATCATAATTGGCCAGTGCCACCAAAATCTCCAAATTTCCGTAAAGAATATGATCAATTATTATTCGCCTTTGTCGAGGATCATATCTATCGTTCTGAATCACAGATGATTTTGCTAATGGAATATTTTGATCAATTTTTAGCCAATAAAGAAGATCAAATGTATAGATTTCTTTTGGACGAAGTACATAATGAAATCAAAATTTTAGAACAAACACAACAAACTACTAATGAATATTTTCATTCACGTAATGATTGGAACCAATTGGAAAGTTACATTGGACAAAAAATGCAGGATGAAGTGAATCTTATGCTCAATTATTTTCGAAAACTTTATGATAATATCAAAAAATCAATGGTTACAACGACAACAACAAAAACAATTTTTAAAGATTAACTTGTCTCTTAAACAATTTGTTTTTTTGTATAATGGATATTAAAAATTTTATTCAACAGAATGCAAAAATAAAATAAAATAAATTCAACTAAAAATAATCTTTAGAAACTAAAAGGAAAAAATGCTGCAATCTTTCGTGTGAATATTCCCACGTTTAATTACTGATAGTCATCACTAGTTAATGGCGAATTATCCTATCCAACTTGACTATATTGGATGACGATTGGAACATTGGGTATTGATGCTTTTTCTTGATGCGATTCATGATAACCTTACATAAATGTGTGTATTGTTGATGACATTCACAACTCTGTTTTGGCTGGTCAGTCATAAATTAACTTCATCGACAAACATATCGTTTCAAGGACAGAGCGTTGAAAAACAAGTTTTGTTTTGTTTTGCTTTGTTTTGCCATGCTATTTTGTCTGTTACTATTCATAAGTTGGCCATTTGTTCCCAAAGCACAATTTCTGTGATAATTTAATTGATGCCATTTGGCCATAAAGACCAGGATATTGATGAAGCAAACAATGGATCGTTATCACGTAACCCTGATCACGATAATCATCATTACCATAATTAAACATTCGTCCACAACAAAGTCAATTGATTCAGATTCTTCTTCAGTGTTCATGAAATTTGAATTGTTCCATTCGAGAGGCAATTTTACGCCAGTTTTAGTGAATGATGATAATGGAGAATACCATCTTCAACTATCGTTTCCATTGTTTTCGATCGATTTCGATTTAATGCTCAAGTATAAACAAATCAACTTTTCTGGTAGGAATAATTTCATGGTTGATGAATATCATTTGCAAACTACAGATCATTTCGATATGAACGCAACGATAAAAGTGATTAGTGAAAAGAAAAGTTTAAAAACAAACAACGATAACAAATGGAAGCAAATTGAAATCAACGCACAATTTGTATTGCCCGTGGCCAAAGGTTTTCTCCCAATAACGTTGATCACCTGGATTGAGCGTGTAGCGACATCTGATGATGGTCATATTGACCATTATCAAGCTAAAATAAAATGTAAATTTGGCAGTTTTTTTACATTGGATTATCAACTCAAAATGGAAAAACAATCAAATTTGTTTGTCAATTTCAATCGAAAACAATGTCCATACATCCGTTTGAATCATACACTTCAAAGTGATCCACCGGAATGGCTGTATTTTCAATCATCAATTGAACATTCATGTCCAAAAATTTCTGATTTGCGTATCATGATACAATCGAAATCTAAACGATTTCCGCTGGCTAATCTGGAATTACTTCAAACATTTAATCTAGATACGAATGGTAATGAAATGATGCAAATGATACATCCTATTATTGATGCTATGGTGGCTGGATTCTGGCAATCGATCGGTTCATATTCTATTTATCAGAAAACATTGTGGATGAAAGTGAAACCTTGGTACGAACATATTAAACTGGATTATATTCAACAGATTAATGATTGGGATCGTTTCTATACGTTGTCATTGTCTCGTAAGGATTTTTCTAGATTTTCACCAAAGACACAAGTAGGAATCAATTCTTCAACAATCGTTAATCCATTGACCGAGATCATCAAGCAAATTATTCTTTACACATCGGCCATTTTCAATTCTACAACCAGTATTGTATTATCGGTTTTATCAACAATGGAATCAGCCATTCAACAAGCCATACAAAGTCTTATGGATCATTCATCATTCGAATGGCAAATTCATTCATTCCATTTGGCCATAATTACTTTACAAGTGATGTTGTTCATATTTTATGTTGGCATTCAATTCATTCGAACGTTACGTATATTTTGGCTTCTCACTTTAGCCATCAAATGGGTTATCATTATTCTGTTGGCTATAATCATTGTCATTTCAACCGTTCAGATTCTATACTGGAATAATTTAGAGAAAATATTTTATTAAATAAGAAATGTAATTTTATGACAAACATAATTCAATTCGTAATTGCGTCATCGTCTTAATGATGGAATTCAATCATCATCACTTTTTTTTAATTAGGCTAGCTTTCTTCTTATTCATAGGTTCCTTCTTTTCTTTAACGATTACCATTGACTTTTGAGCTTGGACTATCGGTTTAGAAGCTGTTGATTTGATTTTTTTTGATGTGGACGTTGATTCCGAATCCAAATCATGATCATTTTTAACCTTAGTCATTGCCAATTTTGATTTAGAATCTTTTATTTTAGCCAACTTAAAACGACCGTTTATTCCAATGCCTTTAGTTTGAACTAAATATCCTTTGGCCACTGATGTTTCAAGATGACGTCGTAAAAGATGAGCTTTCTTCTTCATATCAACATTGTAATGCTCGATCAAAAACTTCTTGATAGCAGCCAATGACGGTCCTAAGCGTTCATCACTATGATGTTCGATTGCCGATTTAACCATTTCGGCCATTGGTTTACTTAGATTCGAAGATGAAGCCGTTTTTTTAATTGTTGCCATGATTTTGTTCACAATTTCAATTGTCAAGGATAATGATTACGCTCAAAAATACCGGATCAATTCAGCATTCATAATGGACATGATGTTACCACTAGGCACCAACATAGATCGCCATCTGTAGGAATTTAGGATAGTATCATTGTTAAAATTTCAACAATGTAGCAATTATAAATGCCGCTAGCAAAAAAAAGTTAAAGTAAAAATTTTGAAAACCAATGGTAAAAATGAGTTCGTGATTGTGACCTGAAAACTGGATAAATTCATGTTTTACATCGCCTCTGGCTTTATGGCCCTTGTCTTTACCTGTTTTCATACCTGAGGATTTTCAATGCTCAATTTTAAATTGAACTCGTCCAAAACGTCCAGTGATTTTTATTTTGATAATTATTCATAATCAAAACTTCAACGAGCCAACAACACTTTATTGAATTGACAAAATGAACCGATTCATAATGTTACCGCTTTTGATCTCTGTGTTTGGCTTTGCTTCAGCCCAATACAGTGGTTTGGCAGGATATGGCAATCGAGGTTCTGGATATAATCAGCAAAGCTACGGGCAGCATGGATATGTCCAAAACGGTTATGGCCAGCAACATGGCCACGGACAGCACGGATATGTCCAACACGGTTATGGCCAGCAACATGGCCACGGACAGCACGGATATGTCCAACACGGTTATGGCCAGCAACCTACTTATGGTAAACAGCATGGCTTCGGACAACAAAGTGGCTACGGTAACCAAAACTTAGGTCAGAATCTGGTTGGACAAATTCTCGGATCTCTTGGTCAGCGCCAATTAATTAATTAACACTTTATATTAACAGAATTTTCTGATTTTAACTAATGAATGCATCATTTTTGGATGATTAAATCATCATCATCAATAAATTTATTTTATTATAATTGGTTGATTTATGGCCAAACTTCACAAGATTTTTTTTTTAAGTCAATAGTGTCATTTGTTCCAGATGATTGAATGGTAGATGGCAGCATCAACTTAACAAACGTATGTGTAATTTTTAATTTTATTATCTGTTCATTGATGGCACTGTATGTAGCATAAATGCTTTCGATCATCATCATCATCATCACTTTTAGTTTGTTCTTGATTGATTCAATTACAAAGATTAGCGTAATGAACATATTTGACACCTACGATTAGAAAACATGATACTAATATATCTTGATTGATTCAATTACAAAGATTAGCGTAATGAACATATTTGACACCTACGATTAGATAACATGATACTAATATATTTCGAATGTTGAAAGGTTCGTATAATCATCACCTGATCATCATAGATGATCTTTTTAATCCACACCTAGATTCATACATTTGCTTTTTCTCTATATAATACTAGAAAATGGCCATTTGTGATATTTTGTTGATAATGTACATCCAACCAATTCTCTGTTGTTTGTTTTGAGAATCTTCCTTCTCGCATTCGGACACATGATCGATGATTTGTTTGTTTGTTCGGGATTCGAATGAAACCTATCTGGTTGCCATCATCATCATCATCATAACTTCTATCGACAATACGCTAATAGTACGAGCATCATTATTAAGCCAATCCAATAGGTATGCATGATGACAAACTTTCAAATGACGCAATTGACAAATCAATTATGAAAGAACAGGAAAATGAAACAAAATACAACAAGCACATACGCATACATACCATATAACGCCAATATAAATGTGTATGGTTGTTTGTTTGTGTGTGCGTGTGTGATTTTGACGTCAATCGCTCCACGTTGCTTACGTATTAATTTTGGCACATGTTCGTTACTGGAACCAATCGTTGGAGCCATTTTATCATATGAATGTGATGCTCACCCTAATGAACATTGATCAGTATCGGATTTCCGACTGATGCCGTATATTTACATCATCATCATCATCATCAACGTTGATGACGATGAAAAATAATGAAAAAAAATTGATGACTGACTCACTTGAACACATGATAAATAATTTTAGTGGTCTTTTGATTATCAAGCTAAATAAATTAAAAAATAAATAAAAAGCCTGATAGCCAGAAAGATAGGAACAATGAAAGCAATTGTAGCCATTTATGATGATCATTTGTAATTGTCGATTAATTCAGACATGCTAAAAATGTGTATGTAATGTATCCATTTTTTGCAAATGTATTCATTTAGCTGCGCAGATTAATATTCTTTTTTCAATCCATTTTGTCTGACTGTCTGACTCTTTTTTCAATCGTCTTATTTCAATAATAATAATATCGTAATAGTAGATAATAATAATGATGATGATGATGAAGAGAAAAAATGTTTCCAAACCTTGGATTGTAGCAAAGTTTATAAAATTTTCTCTCTATATATGTTGCTTACCACGAAAATTGTATCCATTTCTTACCACCATCATGAAACATTGACACTCAAGGATTTGAAGGTATTCGCGTTTTTTACGATCATGGCCAACGTTTTTTTACAGGTACAGCATTTTCGTATGTTGCGAATACACGTTCAAGGATGTACATTTCGATAAATGATGTACAAGACATTGAACTCTTGTTCGAATATAGCCATAATGTTACATCCAAGGAGATAGGCCTAAAAACGATATTTTTGTTTTTGTATGTGCTCGAAAATATCAATTAATCATGTTTATAGAGCCGATTAAGCAGCCATCATCTTGTTTGCTTCATTCGGGTTTGGTTGCGTGAGTTTGTCATTCACCACAACCATCATTTACACCGGTGAATGTCAAATTTACCAACAAGTAGTTTATGTGGTACAGGTTTTTTTCATGTAGCAAATAAGCTGAAAAATTTTTAACTCGTCATTAATTGCTACTATGCTGAAGAATTTCATTTGTAGATTAAAATTCATGCCCTGAACATAGAAATTATTTCCAATCATCGAATATTTGCCATTTTCATCTCGTTATATATTTTAGTGTAGTTTAATTATTTCAACGGCTTAATTTTGAAAATATCTTAAAATCTTCAGACTAATTGTGATTAATACTGACCAATCATTATGATCATTGGTACTATGGCAACAACCGAAAGACACGCGAACAGATTTCAAAGCAATCTTCATCATCTCCTCCTACGTGGCCATCGAGGACATCTGTCATTGATTACTTATTGTATAAATGAACCTTTATTTTGATTTTTGAGTACAATGGGAATTTTTGTTAAAGAAAGACCCACTGAAGTTTTAACATTAAGTACAGGTGGTCACAGAAAAGACCATAATTATCATGAATTGCTGTGGTAGCCTTAACTATAGTTGGACACGTGTCGGATTCAGACCTTGTTGGTACCTTGGTGCTACCGTAATAGTCGTTTTTCTATCACACCTGCCACGTGTCCATGCACAAACAATTGATTGGCCAAGAATGACAGATGTTCCATTTGAACTTGGGTCATAACCGATAACTAATTTATCTCTGATCTTTTTTTGTTCAATGAACAAAAAATGTTGACCTGTAGCTGCATTCGAGCCAACTGTTGATGAAAGTAGAATGTATAAAGCTGCGAATAATTTAGTCACAATGCTATTTATGAACCATCCAAATGATTAGAAAGAGTTTAATGATGGCTCACATAATTCTGATAACTTCAATGAGTTTGAATGAATATATATTTTTGCCACAATTTTCATCATTTTGCATCACCCGTTTTCAATCATTTTGATTGAATAGAATGTTAATGAACGACAATGACCGCCGATATTGTGCAGACATCTAATTCAGTTTATTTCAAAAAAAAAAAAATTAAATTAAATTATGATTACCACACCTAATCGGATCATAATCAATGAACATTTGGATCGATACTATGTTACTATTTTTGTTTGTAGATACAAGGTTGTATCAATTATCAGTTTTGTTGGCCGTGTGATAATAAGTAATAATGATTCGAATGGTGGTTAAGCCATTACAATATAGCAATCGAATATTATCAAATCAAGTATTATGTTATCTCAATGACCGACCGTTCTTATTTCGGTTAAATGTAATGATAACCAATGCTATGATGACCAATAATCAAGACAACACCTTGACAGGTAAGTTATAATATAATGATCATTAATACGGCAGCAGCACGTACCGTTATTCATCATAATTCCATTGATTGACTGACAATTGGTGGCTGCTATATCCTTGATATTGATTATTAATAATCATTAACTTTTCTCTTTCCATGTCTGTCTATCTATCATTTTTAATATATTTAATTTAGCACATTCCAATCGATCAAAGAAAAAAATTAAAGCTATATTAATGTGAACAAAACATATATATATAATAACTTTGTATTTCGCTATTGTAATTAAGCTTTTGCTGAAAATTAAAAATTTAATACGTCAATAAAATAATCTTCACCAACAAGTAGTTTATGTGGTACAGGTTTTTTTCATGTAGCAAATAAGCTGAAAAATTTTTAACTCGTCATTAATTGCTACTATGCTGAAGAATTTCATTTGTAGATTAAAATTCATGCCCTGAACATAGAAATTATTTGCCATTTTCATCTCGTTATATATTTTAGTGTAGTTTGATTATTTCAACGGCTTAATTTTGAAAATATCTTAAAATCTTCAGACTAATTGTGATTAAAACTGACCAATCATTATGATCATTGGTACTATGGCAACAACCGAAAGACACGCGAACAGATTTCAAAGCAATCTTCATCATCTCCTCCTACGTGGCCATCGAGGACATCTGTCATTGATTACTTATTGTATAAATGAACCTTTATTTTGATTTTTGAGTACAATGGGAATTTTAGTTAAAGAAAGACCCACTGAAGTTTTAACATTAAGTACAGGTGGTCACAGAAAAGACCATAATTATCATGAATTGCTGTGGTAGCCTTAACTATAGTTGGACACGTGTCGGATTCAGACCTTGTTGGTACCTTGGTGCTACCGTAATAGTCGTTTTTCTATCACACCTGCCACGTGTCCATGCACAAACAATTGATTGGCCAAGAATGACAGATGTTCCATTTGAACTTGGGTCATAACCGATAACTAATTTATCTCTGATCTTTTTTTGTTCAATGAACAAAAAATGTTGACCTGTAGCTGCATTCGAGCCAACTGTTGATGAAAGTAGAATGTAGTTTAGTCACAATGCTATTTATGAACCATCCAAATGATTAGAAAGAGTTTAAAGATGGCTCACATAATTCTGATAACTTCAATGAGTTTGAATGAATATATATTTTTGCCACAATTTTCATCATTTTGCATCACCCTTTTTATTCAATCATTTTGATTGAATAGAATGTTAATGAACGACAATGACCGCCGATATTGTGCAGACATCTAATTCAGTTTATTTCAAAAAAAATTAAATTAAATTAATTATTATGATTATCACACCTAATCGGATCATAATCAATGAACATTTGGATCGATACTATGTTACTATTTTTGTTTGTAGATACAAGGTTGTATCAATTATCAGTTTTGTTGGCCGTGTGATAATAAGTAATAATGATTCGAATGGTGGTTAAGCCATTTTAATATAGCAATCGAATATTATCAAATCAAGTATTATGTTATCTCAATGACCGACCGTTCTTATTTCGGTTAAATGTAATGATAACCAATGCTATGATGACCAATAATCAAGACAACACCTTGACAGGTAAGTTATAATATAATGATCATTAATACGGCAGCAGCACGTACCGTTATTCATCATAATTCCATTGATTGACTGACAATTGGTGGCTGCTATATCCTTGATATTGATTATTAATAATCATTAACTTTTCTCTTTCCATGTCTGTCTATCTATCATTTTTAATATATTTAATTTAGCACATTCCAATCGATCAAAGAAAAAAAAATTAAAGCTATATTAATGTGAACAAAACATATATATAATTATAACTTTGTATTTCGCTATTGTAATTAAGCTTTTGCTGAAAAATTAAAAATTTAATACGTCAATAAAATAATCTTCATACCAGATGGCGCTAAAAATGAAGAAAATGAATGAATTGTTTCGAATGTCACATTTCTGAACCACAGGTTCATTCAAATGAAATTTACATGAATTGTTATGGTCATAAATTGAAGACCAGCCCGGTACAGGCGCTTCGCGCCTGCCCCAGGCTGGCCCGCGGGGCTGACTCCTGACAGTCAATATAGCTGGATACCCGCAGGTGTGGCGGCTGCGCCGCCCCCCTGCTTGGTACCCAGCCAAAGGTGTCAATTTTAACGCTTCGTGCCTGACGGTGGGTTTCTATGCACGGCGTGTTGCTTCCGGCCTTCGGTTTGGTACCGCAGGGTCAGCCATCACTTGTGCATTGCACCTGATACCGTTGAAAAAGTTGCGTACACCGAACAGCATAATTATTATTGCTAATCAAAAAGTTGAAGAAATACGATATTTTTGGTATAGATACTGTGGTCATTGTTGATATTTTCCTCAATTTCATGAACAAAAATCTTCAGATTATTAGGATTTTTGCAGCGGCAAAAAGCCACATAAATCATTCCATGTTGCAATACTGGTGTAGGAAGGTACACACTTATTTTATCGAAAGATTTCCCTTAAAACATTAATTAATTGTCAGAGCAAAAGCCAATACGACAGGAAATCGTCCACGAACCAATTTAAATGGTAGCTTAAGATCTCGATCGTTTTGCTGCAAAATGAATCATAGCCTCCTTGTCAATATTCGAGCTTCAATGCTGCGTCTATTTACAAATAAACGCGTGCCATTGAGCAAACCACTTTGTGGTTCAATATTGCGACTGAACATGATAATCGATCCAATGTTTAATCCAAGTTTGTGTCTATAGATCCTATAGGATAACCTTGTGGGTTCATCGCATGAAGACACTCAACATTGAATCGTCGACCGCTGTGGCTTTCTGCATTATCGTAAATGCTCCATTTTCTTTATTTTAAATGAAAAAAAGCTATCAGGTATTTTATGTATAATCAGGTTAAATAACCGGAATAACTTACCAAGCGATGAGTAGATAATAAATCATGAAAACAAAAACACAGAACAAATCATTCCAATAAATGCAGTCTTCAGGCAAGATTTCATCATCAAATACACACTCACACAGGCACACAAAATGAAAATCACGTGTGACACATTATCACAATAATCAATTCGAAAAATTCGAATTCGAACTCTTTCTATGTTCTATTGAATGACTGCACCATCTATTGGATGCAAAAGCTGCAGCAACGTGTGCTGAGCTAGAACAATGAAAAAAAGCTTTGTCGAAGCTACATACCACAGAATGCGTTTCTTTGGAAGCGACTTCTACTTCTGAGCTGGGCGAACTGTTCAGCGGCATTCAAAAGTTTTTCCGCATGCTCAGACACACACACACAACACACACTGAGTAGCTTATACTAAATAGTTATGTTTGTACTGAAAATAAGTAGGAATGTCCAGCTCGGCTTCCCCGCATCAAATGCCAAGTTAATACAGTTTTTTATACTTGCAGAGTGTAAAAATTGCAGTTTACAGTGGAAATTTAAGCGACATAGAATAGTAGATTGACATCTTGACAACCGGCCAGACATAAATATCACCGGATAAACGAATAAAACTACCAACTAGACCAATGGCTAAGCATACATGTCATTAGTGTTTTGAGATTTTTTATTATCCAATTACAAATGCCGAATGCACAATGAAATGAACCGAATGGTCATCAAGCTATAGATGAGCGTTTGTTCATTGTCTCTTTCTTCATAATTTATTGGCACATGTTCCGATTATATTTTCGCATTTCTTATTTCTGGATCTGTCTTATTCACGTTCATTTTTTCGTATGTCGCCTGGATAATCCAACCCAATATTGGAAAAATCGATAACAAAGTTGTGATCATTTGTGGCCAAAGTTGACTAACCCCAACATTCGGTTCGGCAACCTATCGATTGAGAATGAGATTGCTTTTGTTGGCCTAATGCATTGCTATCTGGTGTGCTGTAAAGGTATATTGCTTGGCTATGCTATATCCAAACTGATTCTGAATGTTTTCATTACTTCATAGCTTCTGTGAACCAACCGATCATGACGATCAGAAAATTTATGAGCTTCGACCGAATGAATTTTAATCGATTATGACCCTCGAAGTAGCCCTTGATGAGCATACAGAGATGGGACACACAGTCAATCTAGCAGGATTGTTGCTACATTCGTGTGTGTAGGTTTATGCAACATAACATTCCGAACATCATCATCATCCGAATGCATCATACTGCATTTGGTGTGATGATGATGATGGAAACGGCGAGCATAATAATAAATTTTTCAAAAGCTTTAGCTTCAGTACATTCAGAGAGAATCACCACATCGACATGTCCACATGATCAACATATATGTGTTCACTTCATTCAACGAAAAAAAGGATTTTATTCAACTTCACATTGCTTTTAGCTTTTCCTAAATAAACTTTAAATTAGGCTCAATTCAAAATGATTCGAACCTGAAGATTATAATTATATACGTCTGGTCATCGTCTTTACCTTTCTCTATTTGGCCACAATCAATGTTTTCTTGTGTTTATTGTTGTTGTTTTTGTTGGATTGTCGATGGTTGAAATTGTTTAGGCATAAAAAAACGATCGATAAAAACTGATAGGAAGATATATGATTCTTAATCCTGATTGTCATATATTCAATGTGGCCATTGCATCAATTCATAAAGATTTTTTTTTCTATCCATCATATATACAAACAAACAAAAAAATACAACAGGAGCTTGAGAGGCAAACTAAACACAAATTTATTAATTGAATTAATAGGTGAAAACAGATATTATTAACCAAGAAATCAAGTTTTTTTTTTCTATTATGATTTAATTCATAACGCTGTCGATTGATCGATTTATTCATTATCCCATAAAGTGTTTTAATTCTAGTGAGCAGAATGGTTCTCTTTATAAAAAAAATTGATCCTAATGATGAATCTAAAATGTTCAACAACCTACGTATATAAGTTATAAGCTTAACTCGTGATTTGCTAAAAGCACAATCATCATCATTATTATCGACAACATTGATACGAAATGATATGCTGATACATTGTAAATTATGATCATCGATACTAATCAAGCTGTGCGTCCTTATAATCCATTCATTGATTTTTCTACTCCAAATTCATGTAAATTTTTTTTTTTGTTTCAAATCAATGATTCGATTAGAGCTCAGCAACAAGGTAAAGCAGTTTTAAACACTTCTACTTACTTGCTTGCTGATATGAGTGATGAATGTGTGTAAAAGTGTTAGTGAATGATGGATAGCATGACCATCGAATTCGAGTAAGCAAAAACATTTTTTTTTTGCACACATCATCAGACCTATTTATAGCTGATGTCTCGATGATAATCATAGCAGCCAATTCAATCATTCGGCTCATTTCATTGCGATTGCGATGCATGCGAAACACTCGGGCCAAGGCGAATATATAATTTAGCTAGGTTATGGCTTATTATCTAAAAATAATTTTGCCCATTTCTTTTTTTTGTTGACAACTACACACTGTTGATGTTGACGGTATCAAGTAGACTTGTTTGCATTCGAATGAAAAATGTTCCAGTCGAAAATTCCGAATCAACAGCCATGATGGCATTTATCAAGTCAAATGAAAACAATAACTACATGTGACTATATTTTCTTTTTGCCTCTTGGCTTTTTCTAGCTGTTGTTTTCAATTGCATTTGTTAATCTGTAATTCTATATGACAGTGATAAACAAAAGCAATATTTTATTAACTTTTACAACTCTTACAATACCACTACGCAGTTCAATTCCTATTCCACGCCATACGATACTTATAGCCAAAAAGTTAATCACCTAAAATTGAAAAACCATTCATAACCTTTCATATTCACAGTTTTTGATTCTATGTTTAACATATTCCAAGCTCACACAATGTGTTGAATTTCATTTGAATAAAAACAAATGAATAGTAACTTTGTTTTTCTTCAGATATCTTATTTTATCATCATTTATTATCATTGAAAGTAATAATGATCATGAGTCTCTGCCAAAGCTATGATAAAATGTTGTTGTTTGGATAGAGTTTGAATAAATAACAAACAAGAATGAGATTGACTGAGATTTATGATTGAGAAAAGAGCATTAACTTGGTTAGGTAGGCAGGCTCACTCAGCAATGATAACAATCTTTAAATGATGAAAACGAAAGTTTTTTCTACCTGATTAACTGGCACACAAATTTAAATATCTCTTATCATCATTGCTTGTTCAGCTTAAAAAGAATAAGAAATCAAAATTAAGGCCTGAACAAGATCATATGACAAACGTTTAGAAGTAAGCATTTTTACACAATCACAAATATCAGGTTTTATCCTTTTATTATTTTTTGCAAAAATTGTTCGATCGATCAGATCAATAAATTGATTGATGATTGTATCTATATAGTTGGTATATTCCTGAATCATATCGGTGCTGGTAAAAACAACCAATGTACATGTGTTAAATAGTTGAATTTATGAAAGAAATTCTATCAATCGGCTTTATTTTTTTTTATCGATCTTGATATCCAAAGTAAACACAAACCGTTTGGGTGAATAAAAAAAAAAATATGATCTTTGCACCCACAAAAGCTATATTATGGTGGTTAACTTTTGAAAAAAACGAACCTTGAAAAGATTGCAGAAATATGATTGAGTAAAGCAATAATTGAAATTATTATTATCATCAACTGATACTTTCGTTCTATGTCTCATTGTTCCAAACAATTCAATTCTATCGCCAGTCATTGTTGTTTATTTTAATTGAATTTGGCATTGACATCATAAAAATGTTTGAATAAACACTTTTTCAATTTGCTAGTAAATTTAATCTTGAAATTAATGAAAAACAAATCAATTTGCTTGCTTTATAAAAATTATAATTTACGAATACACCATGCAATGCATGAATGATATCGTTTGTTGATGATTGAATCTTTTCAAAGAATCACGATCGTTTGATTCGCAAGGCTTTAATATTGTTTTCAGTGATAATATTGTTGGACCAGGTTGGACCAAGCCAAAAAAAAAATCATGATTACATTTTACAATATTAGTAGTAAATATATACGATAAGCAACTCAAATAATTTCAATGTTTATTTGTTTAACTCATTGTTTATGAATAACAGAATTGGCTATACATGATTAGACGGCATGAATAATTTAGTAGAGAATATAAATATAATTAACTGTTTAAGTCCTTCATTCATTATCAGTTAAATAATGTCATGGAATCAGATTACTTTCATTGTTATGTTGGGGTGCTGATTGATTCTAAATGATAATAAGACCATCAGGCCAAAACCCGAAACAACCATCTCATACTGTCTTTTTTATTTTTTAATCTTCTAACAGAATTGATTGTCAAAACTTTAAATTCCGAAATAGTACACCTGAATTCTTTAGCAATCCTAAATCGTTTCATAATTTCATGGAAGTAGATGAATGATAGAATTTGGTTTGTTAATTCGTAAACTTTATTTCAACAACCAATCGATCAACAGGCCTGATGATTCTGAGTATCTCTGAATTTGTCATCGTTATTGTTTTTTTTAAACACTTCTACATGATTAAATATCCTTATCAATGAATATACCTAATTGAGCATCATTGATAAGAGATGCAGTGGCGGATCTGCCATTGGATGGGTGGAATCGCCCAGGGCCCAACTAATGGTTGATACGCCATTCTTCAGGGTTAGCTAAGTGAAAGTTATTTTTTGATTGACAAGGAAAAAAGGGAAGAAAAGAGAAAATCGGACACGCGTTTAGATACAAATGTTGAACAAATATTTGTCCAATGCAGTGTCAGGTTCTATTCAAACCGTTTGATTTGTTAAGAGGACAACAAATGATCCAATGACAGCCATCATTATAACGATGATCGAGACATAAAAGAAATAGAGAAGAGACATTTTCCTCTAAAACCCAGCAACAAACAGACAAACGAATGGTAATTGGAGATTTCATCATTCACGATCAATAATAAATAACACAGAGATGGCCAATATGCATTGACAAATGGACACAAACAAGGAAATGATTACATACTAGTCCCCATTATCAATGGCCTTATAGCCATGTTTTTTATCAACAAAACGGCTCTCTTACCTGATTTGTTTGTTGTTTAATTCGTTAGCTGTATTGACGACAATTCTCCATTGTAAATCTCATGATAGTGGCCATATTAGAGGAAAATTCTTATGTACGAGAATCAACCGAGGTCATTGTTGCTATGTTTATATTTGTTTGTGAGAGCGCGTGATTCAATATGATGATTGATTGATTGATTCAAAATGGCATTTTAAAATGATGAATGATTAAAAGTTGAAATTGAATTAAAAAAACACGGAAAATGACTATTTAATTTGAATGATGATTGCACATCGGCATGAACAATTAATTACCTTTTCTAAGCTGCTTTAACTTTTCATAACCTATTGAAACTTTTTTTAGAAAGATGAAATTCGAGATAATAATTTGCAAATAAGCACAAAAATGGCTATCAAATTCTAAATAATAAAATGGACATTACGTTGACAATGACAACACGTATTATTGACTATATCATTAATTAATGGATGGTCATCATGGGACTCTTGTACTTATGATAGCCGTGGTTCATTTTAAACAATGTAACAAAGCCAATAAAAACAATCAATCAATGAGTCCAATAGAATAGCAATTCCAGAAGATTTGCTCAAATTGATTCTGCCAATTGATATTTGTCTATTTGGTATTGCAAGGCAGTCAATCGATCTTGAAATGATTACTCCATCAGCTAAACAAACAATCATTACCATTTACTATTTCAAATTTTGCTTCTCACGATTCGGCAACTGCTCATTAGCTAAGGCGATTGCCATTGTAGTGCCGATAATTGAAATGAAAAACATCACCATTCATATTAACAAACGTTTGATTAACCACATGATAGGAAAACATTGAACATTGACATTGACAGGAATCCATTGTCCGGTTCAATACATCTATTTGAAATGAATATCAATATAAAAGTTTTGCATCCTTGCATCCAAGATTCTGATTCTTTTTGATTCATATTTCATATAATGAATGTGTAAAAAGAGTGAATATGTCAATGAGGAAAAAATGAACGAAATAATGTAGTTCTATTAAAAGAAGCAAACATGGAGGTAGACTGAAATTTTTAGCTATGCTCGTGATGTCTCCCGTTGATTTCAAGCAAAATTTGGTCCTGTATCACGCCAAAGAATGACGTAAAAACATGAACCCAGATTTAGGATTGAACAATGACAACGACTACGAAAAAGAAAAAAATTAGGAGTTTCTTTTTCTCTTTCTATCTCTCTCACTTTTCGAAAATATCTTGCTCTAGAGTTTGGAGCCATTTAGGTCAGAGAAATGATGGCCAATCAAAAGAGTGAACAACACTCAAAAGCTGGAATTCAGTTTTACTTTTTAGCCATTGTTGTTAGTTTGTATC